AAAAAAATATATATGCTAAATCTCCTGCACTGCCCAACAAAAATGTATTTTTGCTGTGTTCATCATTTGGTTACATAACTAAAACACTGTCCTTTCATCTTCCTGTTGTTCCTGTTACACAATCTGGCCAGGCTGAGCTCCACAATTGCACTGACACAGGCAACAGCTTTGCCTTTGTAAATGTGGGCCTGACTGACCAATTAATGCCACTGATAAATTAATGTAAAAGCAGAAAAAACAGAGAAGAATGTAAAACATAATGGGTTTATGTTTTCACATAATTGTCACCCCTCCTTTACCTCTGGAATTTGCTGCAGTKSAGTTCTAACCTTGAYAAAAGGTTCTGGATATTAGGATTTTGTAYACAGGTATAAATACTGATATATTTATTAGTCAGGAAATTTAAAATATATTTGTGCTTCTGTTAGTTCAGAAGGACTTTGTGTTAACCAGGCCACCAGAATGYTTTTCTGATGTTTTCTTTTGAATTGCCATACAGTCTTTACATTCTGTCAAGAACAATAACATCAGACAAGTGAAATTTTAGTTTCACATCTCTTTAGTATCAGTATTATCAGAGCCTCTTTATAACACTAAGCCTAATTATGGACACAATGATTTACACCTTTGACATCCTGCCCCAGAAAGTATTAAAAAGTATTTCATAGACAAATATCCTTTTGGGAAGTATTAAATACATCTAAAATGTGCACCAGAATAGTATCTGTTGTATAATGCACACCTTCTCCTCTTAGGCTTTCCTAATATTTTCCTAATATTTTCCTAATATTTTCCTAATATTCTTTGTTATGCTGCAACTGAGAAAAAAAGTGAGAACTGTGGAATTTTATAACTGATTTGCTTCATGTTATTATTTTTATATGTTTTAATATATTCCAGTTACTCTACAGATGTTGTACAAATTAAAAACATCAAAGGTCTTTGAAAAACAGAAAGCAGGAGAAGGCAAAGCAACAGCTGAGATTGTRGAAGAAGATCCTTTTGCTGTTCAGATGATGTACTGGTGTCCTGAAAGCAGAATTTTCTGTGTGGCTGGAGTTTCTGCATATGTGATTGTTTACAGGTTCAGCAAACATGAAGTAAATACTGAAATTACAGTAAGTATTTATTTCACTCTCTTCTAAGAGGATATAATTTCTAAATGAAATTGCCTTGCTTCATCTGTGCTCAAGTACTTAAATAACAATAGCAACCAGTATAAATACAGGTTTAGGGACATTTTAAGCTTTTCCAGGGAAATCTTGATCCTACTTAAGTTCCTGTCAAAAATCTGAGTGTTTAGGAACCTACTCTACATTTGCTTTTTGTTTGAGTAGTAACACACAGTGCAGCTTTCAGACACAGCTGGCTTTTACAACTCTGATGCAGTGATTTCTGTTGTGTTTAGCCAGTCTAAAATTAGTCTGCTAAATTTCTTTATCAGCTAATYTTCATTGTGCACATGCATGATGATCTTTTTAACTCCAGTATTTCATCTCTGTAATTTCTGTTCAGAGTGTTTGTACCGTAAGAAGACTGAAAATTATCAGTGGGTTTAACAAAATAAAATGAGTTGTTTTTTTTTTTTTTTTTTTTTTTTTATGTTTTTTTTTTTTTTTTTTTTCTGGCTTATGCTGACTTTGTTTCCCTAAAAGTGGAAACTAAATGAAATGCCAGATTATTAACACCTTCCCTGATTAAAGTTATTTTCCTTTTCACATTATTTTAATACACTTTAGAAAGTTCTAGTGGCAAAAACCTGTGTCATTTTTGGCCTGTAGCCATGTGCCAGTCTATATGGAAATTATTTACCTGTAGCTCTTCTGTTGTTTTGTAGTCATTTTTCCCCTATTATTAAGCTGCCTGAATGTATTATGTAAGGAAATTCTAAAACTAATGAGCAGTAATTTCATGTTACTGACCAGCTCATGTATAATGCTGCTAAAATTACTCCATTTCAGTATTCTTACATTGTTCCACACCAACTGCACCTGATCTTTTATTATTTATGATTTAATGTCTTTTTTCCCTGTCCTTCATTTTTCTGGCTGAATTACTTCATTGCTGGTATTTCCTGAAGTGTTATAATATATGCAATTTAACAGTTTCTCAGATTTCATCTGTAATTAATAAGCATATTTCTAAATTATGCAATCTTGGTGGCATAGTCACAGAATTCCCCTGGGTTTCTCTAAAATGGGCCTTCTCTCTTGTTTCTGCATTTTTGCTGCTTACATTTGAGTCTTTACTCCTAAATTATGGGGTTTTTTTAATCAAAAGTATGGAATTCTTCACTGGAATTTGCAGCTGACTTTAGGCTGTCTCAGGATTTCTTTGCAGCCTGAGCTACAAATCTTTGTGTTCTCCCTTTCTTATCAGCCAGATTGAATTTACCTTGAGTTCAATCTCCCAATATCAGCATTTTAAGGCCTCCACGTTGGTTTGACCGCCCTGATGTCAATTCTGTAAAGTTATTTGGAGGTAAATAGGAAGCAGAGAAGGTACTCAGAGGTTTCTCCATGCAGCAGGGAAGTTTGCAGCAGAATGTGCCTTTGAGGCACCAAATGTGCCTGTGATTTCCTAAATAAAAAATTTCCTAAATAAAAAATAAAAAATTTCCTAAACCAACTGATTTCCTAAATAAAAATATTGTTTGCATCATTTCATAGCAAATTCTGGAGGAGACCACTATGCATGAGAGAAATTCTGCTTCGTATCCAACCTTGGAGTCATTGCCATGCAGTTATATAAAAAGCATTTGCTGCTGGTTTTTTTTTTTTTATTTTTATTTTCTCATCTGAATCCACTCTGTCCTGTCTCAAAAGGATCTATTAATTAAACATTATCACTTTCTCAGTGAGAGTCTTTCCTTAGTGAAAATCCTCTTCAAAGCTCTTGAGAAGAGCCATAGGAAAGAAGTTAACAATCATTTGAATATGGAAAGGGGAATCAATTAGCCTAGTGATGAGATCCTCCAAAAATATCTTTACTCTGTGTCAAAATAAATCAGTTTTACATTTCTATAACCCTCCTAAACTCCACTTTAAGGAGGCACAAAAAAAATTCACAGTCATGTTGTAAGCCTGATTTTTCCCTTCTCTCTTCAAATGCATAATAACTAGAATTTAACAAAATTAATTTTAGTAGAGAAAGGAATAAACACAGAAAAACATCCAGAGAAGAGTGATGCACTTCTAACATGGTAAGCAGAAGAACATACTCTTCAACAGTTATTCCAGTCCTGAATAAAGATCAAACAGCATTATAAATTGTTTCAGTCAGCTGCAATTACTTCCAGATCAGATTTGCCTGAACTCAATATTTCATTCATTAGTCTTTGAAGGTAAATATTATCTGTAGGTTTCTTTAACTGATTCAGGCAAAAAATATCCTTGAATTTTGCAAGGAGAAAACAAAAGTGAAATTTAAAAAAAAAAAAGATTCTCTCTCCTAGTTAAATAGAATCACTTTTTTTTCTGAAATGTTATGTGTTTTAATGCAATGGTTGAGAAATGGGTGACCCTTCCGTACTACTCACCTTTATCTTCCAATTCTCATAAAATTTAGGTATTTTGTTAATGTTCATTCTGGTACAGATGTCTCAGAGAAGGATTACAAAGATGGAGTTTGCAGTGTTTACCTCTGCAATTGCTTCTGTTCCTTTCAAGGCAGCAGCACTGAAATTCCTGTTCAGTAATCTCCAGTCTTGTACCTTGGTTTTTATTCTTTTCAAAATGGGGATCTCCTTGGACAACTCATGAGGTAGAAAAAATTGCTTCATGTTTACTTAGCTAGATTTGAACATTTTGTCCAGTTTCCTCTGTGTTTTGGAGTCCTTCAGTTAGTATTTCCTGAATTACTGGAAAGAATTTCAGGGTGTTTTTGCCTGGTTGGTTTGCCTTTCCCTTTTTAGAGAGGCCAGAGGGAAAGCAAAATGTAACTGGTTTGAATATTGCTTTCTAGAATCAAACTTTCTAAAATCAAATCAAATTCTAAGGAACACAGAGCTGTCTGTGCTGTTATTTCTGATTTCCTGGCYCCCACCTTTGGACAATGGTATCAGTACTATTCACACTGTCAGGCTTATCCATCCATAACTTAATTTTTTTTTATATTATTTATTTATTTATTTAAGTCTCTAGAGGTACGACTTCAATGTGAAGTAGAAGACATCATTACTCCTGAACCAGAAACAAATCCTCCATTTCCAGATGCCTCCTCCCAGCTTCCTTCTTTAAAGAGTCTTTCAGGCAGTACCAACACTGTGGCATGTGAAGGAACAATGAAGGATAGCATCCCATGTCTTAGGTAAGTCTGTGATATTGTTCAAAGATTTATCTTTCTAAAAAGCATTCCTATCTGTTAATTAATCCATCAGCTACCAAGAAAAAAGAGGTTAATTGTATGTATGTGACACAAAGAAACCAGAATATATAAGAATATATAACACAAAATAATTAAGGCATAATAATCAACAAGGGGTTTTAAAAGGATAGAAATAATTATGAAGAATATAAACTGTTGAAGTAAAGGTTTGACTGTCATTTTTCAGTGTGATCTAAATGTTCAAGAAATTTCTGAGGAATTTTTTTTAATAGTTCATGAAGAAATTTCCATAAAAGCTGATCTGTGCAAAGCCTTCTCTCTTTGATTAAGTATTATAACACTAAAATTTTTCTTTATGAAAGAACAGTGTATTTTATGGTGTGTAAGGCATGGAAACTGTTCATGCTTATGAAACAATCTTTGGAATATGCAATTATAAAACAGTTACACTCTGTTGAAGTATATATTTATTTAATCTTTAGAAAGAAGCAAATTGTTTTTTGATAGAATACATTGTCACTGTTTTGGAGTAGATTAATATGTTGTTATTAGTAAGGCAGAAAAATTATAGGTTTGAATAGTTAAAAACAAGAATTCTGTGCAAAACTCTATAAACTGTAATTTTCCAGCAATTAGAGTGCATTGCTGACAACAATTGCTCTCATTTTAGTGACTTGATTATTAAACCTGTTAAATGCTTATTTCAAAAGCAGTTTAAATGAACATTTCCTGACTTTGCTGAATCTTTGGGCTGCTTGGCTCCTGAAAATATCATTAACATTTAATGCAATACTGTGATATGGTCCTTGTAGAATTAACACTATTTTTTTGGCATCCTGCTCATTTGTCCATCTCATTCAATCAGGCAGTTGAACTTCAGACCTCAGTTTAATCATTAATTTGAAATGAAAATCAATAGAAGAGGCAGAGATAAGATTTTAAAAAAGCCCAGCTGTGAAACCTATCTATGACATTGAAATCAAGAAGAATGCAATCATTTCACTGGCTGAGATTTTCCCTTAAAAGATTCTTATTTGATTTTGTCTGGGAAGGAGAGGAATTGTTGATAGTGGAGACAGAAAAGTTTTTATGAACCCACAGAGGTTCTGTTTGTTAGTTTTTAAAAGTTTTCTTAACTCCATATAATCTCACATTAAACTGTCCAATAATTTTTTGTCAGATTTTACACAAAGGAACTGTAATATTATTTTGACTGAGAAGTGATTTTTCAAAGTGAGAGTAATTACACCAATAGAACTGCTGGCACAGTTAATAATATTTTATTTAGATAAAATATCTTTATGTATGCTCTCATCCTTCTCAATAAGAAAACACATACAAATATCCACACTTTGCCCCCAAATCCTAACTGGATCCACAGGCCTTGTCTGTCCAAAAACTTCTGATCTAAGCAGAATTACCATGGTAAAAAGAAAATAGTGCTGAAAACACAGGAAAAAACCAGCAAAGATCAGGATGATTCTGTTGACTTTATATTCAAATCATTCAGCAGCACAGAATCTCAAATACAGCAATGATAATGTAAAGCTGCAGCCACCTGCAGATAAATACTTTTGATATAAATGCTGTTATCATAAAGCTGTACTAAGAATGTCATTCTTTTCGTTCCCAATCTTCCAATATCATCCCAAAATTAGGTCAAGGATTTTGACAGTAGCTTCAAGTAACTCCAAAGTGCTGAGGATCTGTGAATATCTTGTGATGAAAACTAAAAATCAAAACTTTGCAACAACCAAATTCAGTGTAGCATAACAAGAACATGTCAAGGAAATCACTGAAATGTCTACTTTCCTTCTGCTCACAGAAGACTCTTGCAGTCTGTTTAGGCTTAAATTATAAACACTAAAAAAAAAAAAAAAAAAAAAAAAAAAAAAAAAAAAAAGAAGCAGTCCAAATCAAAGTGGAGAAGATTTGAATATTTTCATTACTAGCAAAATGGTTAATGAAACAAAGGAAATAGCACAAAGATTCTTAAGAAGATGAGAATGATACAAACATGAGAATGACAACCTTAATCATGAAACATGAAATTATTTTCCTCCATTATTCTAGTCTTTCACCACCTACAGCTTATTCTATACCAGAGAAAATCCCTGTGAAATAATATCCATTTTTCCAAAGTAGATCCTCAAATCTGCAGTGAAAAATATTTAGAGAGAAAGGTGCTTGCTTTTTTCCCTCAGGTGACAACAATCCAAAAGAAAACTTAGAATGTGCTTCAAGTTCACTGATTTTTTCAGCATGCCGTTAAAGGCACATTGGAAAAGTAATACCAATAATTCAAAATAATTCAAATAATATTGGAAAAGTAATACCACATTAAAAAGCGTGGTTTTGAAGATCAGAATTAATTCTGCAGCCATTGTCAGTCTCATGGTAGCTTCTTTAGAAGAAGGAGAGTATAAAGGCATTGCTTTGACAGGTCCTTGTTGGAGCAGCATGCTTTATTCTTGTGTTCCCCCACATCATCAGTTATCCCTTAGAAAAGATGGATGGAAAGCTCAGCTGAAAGGGCATTAGACTAAGTCCTGTTTTATATTTTTATAAAGTTAGGTCAGGAAAGCTGAAATTGGGGGCAAGATGGAAAGAGCACCACTATTAATGCCTCTCACAGACATTAGAAGTTGAAGGGCTCCATCACAAAGATACTCTGAAGGACTATTTGTGTAAATATTTAGCTTCTGCTTGCTGTGAAATTTCTTTGAAAATAATACATCTTTACTGTATACAACTCTTGTTTCTAGTTCCAGTTTATCCAGATCTCAGAAGACCCCTCTCCCTCAGCAGCTTGAGTTCACAGATATTCATACCTTTGTTCTTACCACACATATTCCTGTGTAATCCTGGGCTTGCTTCATTAAGATTATGGATAACAACTCTTCAGAAATGCTCATGGATATGTATCATATGAACAAAGAAAAGAGCAAAGCTTTAGTGCCAACAGAACAGGTCAGAAATTGCCAAACTGTGAGCAGAGGTTTGCTGTTAATAGAAAACAACAGTACAAAGCCATTGCCAGCTGTGGTGGGTTGAGCATTTGCTGAACTTTTCTGTCACATCTTTCCTATGACAATATCCACAATATCTGTGCTCCAGAAAAATGCACATGTAAGGTCTGAGGAGTATTACAGGGAAAAGAAATATAGCAGTGAGTGTTCCAAGCTGCTATTTAGGAAATGCATTTGGAGAGACAGAAAAGGAATGACTTCCTTATCAAGTAATAAATAAGGGAAAGTTTTGGCAAGGTCTGTAAATCCCCTGGAATAGAAATGTAAGTGGTACAGCATAAACTGTATCAGTGAAATGGTTAAACAATTCGAGGGAGGGTGTGAATGTATTCTGAGCCCACTCAGGAACAGTTTTCTGGCACAAACTGTGGCCCATGAGGGATCCAGGCTGGAGCAGTCTGTCCCAAAGAACTGCACTCCACACTGGAACAGGGGATCTGCATGAAAAAGGAATGGCAGGTAGAAAATACAGAGTGTTATGAATGACTACACTGTTCCCCACCTCTGCTGTGTTGCTTGGGATGGGGAAATAGGTAGAAGAGTCAGGAATGAAACTGAGCCTGGAAAGAAGGGAGGGGGAGAGGGTAGTTTAGTTTCAAAGAATTCTTCACTCTTCTACTCTAKTTTTAATTGGCAATAAATTAAATTAATTTTCCCCAAGTTGAGTCTGTATTGCCTSTGGTGGTAGTTGCTAAGTGAYCTTCCTGTCTTAYCTCAACTCATGAGCTCTTTAATCTTGTTTTCCTCCCCTGTCCTGTTGAGGAAGGGGAGTGAGAGAGCAACTCACTGGGTGTCTGGCAGACAGATGAGCTTAAGCTATAATATATATGATAGTCTTATTAAGAAAATAGTCTTTATGCTCTAAGAAATTTTCAAAAAGCTTCTTCTGTTAATATTGAGCAGGAGATTTTATCTCTGTGWCATAAGGTACACCCAATGCTCCATGTASCATGAAAATGTGAGAAGTAGTGCACTGTCATTTGTTTTTCATAACTTCTTTCMCAATTRAAGCACTAATTTCTTTGTSTRTTACCCATTGTGCTATTGGAGTTACCTTTTTAAGAAGTTCTGCCCCTGGTGTTATTCTGTGGTTGTTTTATTTCCATGATTTCAATTTTCCAAGATTGCCAATAGCCCTATTTGCCTCCAAGAGCTCTATCCCAATAGATGCAATCAGAGTATCTACAAAGAACCTGCTGGTTATTGAATGAGAAATTTGAATATCTTCCCTTGAAAGAAGTTCTTCTTTACTTGCTTCTGAATAGGGATTAGTTGTGTTTTTCCCAATCTGACCCAACATCTTTTCAGGTGTTTGGGCCAGAGCTGCTTGGAAAACTTGCAGAGTAACACCACAGTCACATTCAGGAGATGTCTGTGTCATCAAAGATCTCTTCTCCAAAATCCACTACATAGGATAATACTGCTTAAGTGTGGTAGGGAAGGAGTCAAAGCAGAAGGAAATGCTATGTACCAAAAATTGTGATTCTTCAGAATGTGTTGTCCGTGTCTATATCCACCAGCTACTCTCTTTCCTCTTTTATTTCTTGCTCTCTTTTTGGGGACTGTTTTTCACAGGGGTAGAGGATGATGTGTGACAGACTGCAAAAGGTGCAATGTCAGCAGTCTCACAGTGGGCTTGACCTGTAAATTACTACCAGCAGCATGAATATACTAATGACTATCATGAATACCTCAAAGTATTGCTATTATTGCATGTTCTCTTTCAGTGTATCCCACATTAGCTTGTACCACTCAAAAATACACAGAAAACAACCATACAGAGGTGTTCAGCTCTTACACATCCCCTTCAAATGTACACCTTCACTACCTGCTTTGCAAGGCACTGAATTTACCATTACACAGTAGGATCAGGTATTAATAGTTATATCAGATTTGATGTAAGAAGCATTCATTCACATATTAGGTGATTATACTCCTAGAAATAAAACTCCTAGAAATAAAACTCCTAGAAATAAAAATTATACTCCTAGAAATAAAAATAAAACTCCTAGAAATAAAAAATGGACAAAGTTTTGAATACAGACCATTACAGAAAGGTCTGTCTTCTCATCTTCTCTCACCTCTGCATTTTTTCGTTATGCTTTACTTCACAACAAAAAACTTCCAAATACACAGAAATGTCCTTTTTCAAAGTCTCAAAAGCAAGCATTTTAGATTTTCCATTCATTGCTCCTAAGGATGCAAAGCAGTTGCTATTCATGGCCCAGTGTTGGTAGATTTGTTCTGATTTTTGTCCCTTTTTTTAGTGTGAAGGCTCGACCTGTGCGGATGCCTCCTGGCTACCAGGCAGATCTTGTTATCCAGCTGGTGTGGGTGGATGGTGAACCTCCACAACAAATTACCAGTCTTGCTGTAAATTCTGCTTATGGACTGTAAGTAACTCAAAATTAAGGTTGCATTGATTTGCTGTTTATTGTATTAAATTGTGTATTTTCCAGCTATACTTCAGAATTTCCCACAGGCAATTAAGGTCAAAGCAAAGTATTCACCAGATGCTATAAATCAGAATCCTGAGGTAAAAATTATTTGAATTGACACAAGATTGTAATATGGGATGCTAAACTGCCATTTTTACTAATCCTATTTAAATACTGAATCCTATTTACTAATATTTTTACTAAATATTTTTACTAAATATTTTTACTAATCCTATTTAAAAGACTGAATCTTTTCCCATTATTCTGTTCATCTTTTCAAATAAAATCTAATTGCATTTCAAATCTGTCATTTTCAAAGTTGTTTTGAAAGGTTCACCAAGGTGAAATGCGTTTAATAGAAAATGGTGAAGTGATTAACTGTTAAATGCCGTTTATCATGACATCATATCTTAGTTGGAAATTTTCTTCTGAGAGCAGCATTTTTATGTCTATGCTAATGTCTGCACAAGAACCAGTGACCTGAAACTGAGAATTGAATAAGAAGCATTTAAATTCTGTATTCTGTGTGGCAAGGCAAATGAGTGCATGTAATTGTTTCCTCAGGTTCAATTTATTTGCAAATTTTAATTTTTCTTTTACTGAGAGTCACTCAGATACATTAAAATGGCATTACTCCAATAAAATTTTTGGCTGTAATATGTGTTAGGTGCTGACTCTAMTGATTTTCAGTAAGTCACTGGACTMTTTTCAGAAACATTGGCAGTTTAATGCAGCAATGCACATTTGTTCAAAAATATTTTCTTTTGGGGGTCTGATTTTTTAAGTTTTCAGCCTGAATTTCTAGATAGTTTCCTATTTATGAATTCTAGGAGTTTCTTTTCTTTACCATACCTCGGTGCATTTGTCACTTGTGCAAATTGTTGGGTTTTGCCTGATTTGCTCCCTTGCAGGTCTCAGACCTCAAACCAGCATCTAAATAATAAAAAAAAAAATCAAAACATTCTGTCACTTGTAAACTGCTCTGGTAGGTTGTGATTCTCCCAATAGTCACAGTGGTTTCCTAAACCACGGATTTGATTCCATCAAATGTTTTCAATTGTTCCATTTGCTGGGAGCAATGGTAGTTTCCAGGACAGCCTCCTTTAAAACACCACATGCTAAGTACATGAGTGTTTCAGAAATAAATGCATGTATAAAAAAAATAGGCTGATAACCTAAATTTATTTTTCCTAAAAAAACTACCCAAGAAAGGTCTTTTTCCTTACATTTTTTTCTGCAGACTCTCTTCCTATCTCTTGTCTCTCTTAACTTTTTCCTCAGGCCTATGACAAGGCAATGTCCTTTCATCAGAATTTTTGTTTACTTCATTAATTGTCACCTGTTATCCAACCTCACAAAATGGAAAACCTCTTCCACTTCAGCATTAAGCATGAGAACGTGTAATTTTTGCCATGCTAATTATTTGGGTCATCTTTTACCTAATTTTTCTTCCTATAATGATCAGTTAAATTAGGTCAAAAGGTTAAAATGGTTAGTGTGTTCTGGAGAGTCCATTTGCAGTATTCTTTTAATTACTCTGATTTCTGGAGCAATTTTACTGCAGCCATGAAACAGGAATAAAGTGAGATGCAAAAAACTTTTATTCCCATCAAAGATGAAAGACTTCAGACACTGCAAAATTTTATTTATTGTATTTGGTTTACTTTTAACAGTACCAAGGCTGCAAATTAACAGCATTAACAGCTGTATTATTTATGTTAAAACTTCTCCATGTTAAAAAGTAGAAAAGAAAATTTTACAAAATGCTTCAATTACAACTGAAGAACTAACCTTGAGGAACAAGGTTAAATACAAATAATAAATCTGTTTTAAAGTAGGTTCTGTTGGACTGAAAGCACTCACTGTAAATTTATTACCAGCTCATGGGGTAACAGTTTTCAGCTAATCTACATATTAATTAAGAAATGTCTGATGAGGTTTTTATGACATTTCTGTGAAAGATACCAACAGAACAGAATATCACCTAGCAACTAATTCTGTTCAAAAGTGAGAAATTCATTTTGTATTTGATTTCATAAGCACTTTGTTGTTAGCAATTTATCTTAAGCCTTGTTAATAGTAATAGCTGTCTAGATTTTTTTACCAATCCTCAGAAGTGTTATAATATTAATGAGCAATTTCTGATTCTTTTTTAAACTAATTTGTTTGKGTATAAGAAATATTAGATCYCTGTGTGTGAAATTAGAGGAGTTTAGAAAAATACAGATCAGGAAATGATTCATTTTTGGTACATGAATAAATAATTTCATTTTACCTTATTTGGTGTATGGAACCTTCTTTTTATAATGAAAGCAGTGTAAACAAAAAAGGTGAAACAGAGGCAAATTTTCTAGCTTCCCATCTTCTGCTTTTTCCACCTCATTACTTTTCTCTTTCATTGTTGTTTTTCCACACACAGATTCCTTTCAGATATTTTGGGGATATATTAAGAAGAGTCAGGTAGACATGAGCACACAGCTCACTTTTAGTGTGAATTAAGTGTTGAAATATTTTGCAGGGATTTGAACTAACCATCTTAATCACTTTTTACATAAAATGACAGAACTTGGTAACAAGTGATTCTGAATAGGATTGAATATGGTTTGGGGTTTTGAGTTTCTTTGCAGTTGTACCTGCAATCCTTTCTGTCTGGAGCTGGAAATTGCAGTCACATACAAAAAGAGAGAGATCTTGCCCATAAAACAAAGCACCATCAAAATGCATTTGCAAAAGCATTTTAGAGGGGTAGAGATTTTCAACAGAAATCTCTGCTGTACATAAGCTGACAGAGTTGGAAAGAAATTTTTTAAATGCCTTTCTGATTTGGGTATCTCCACAATACATCCTAATACATTTCATTTATCCTTTATATTTAGCTTAAAAGAATTTTTTTTTTACATGTATGTGTTTATATTTTAATCTATATTTGTATTTTATATAAATGCACAACCACTTTCATAAGATCTATGTCCGACTTGTAGGACATAATAATTATAATAAAATAAATAAATAATTATAATAAAATAAATAAATAATTATAATAAAAGAAAATTATTATATTTGTAGGGCATAATAATGATAATAAAAATATGTAGGACATAATGTCATAATAGGACATTAATTTATATCATTATTACAGGAATTCTGTTGTTCTGTGAAGCAGCATTTAGACATCACTGCAATGTGTTTGGTACAAAAAGCTGGTAAAAGTTGTGAGTCTGCTCTCTGGGAAGTTAATTCAGAAAACAGTTTTAAAGATTCAGGATTAAAAATCTGTAAGACATAAAAACTGGAAGCTTTGAGTAGTTTGTGAAGAAAAACTTTGGTGCGGAATTCATAATAACGTACAATAATTATTGTTTTGAGTTAGGAATACATTTAATTCCATATTCCTAACACTCCTGATGGACGTTTCTCTTTGCAGAGTGGCATTTGGGAACTGCAATGGTTTGGCTGTGGTGGATTTCATGCAGAAGACAGTTCTGCTGAGCATGGGCACCCTGGAGCTCTACGGATCCAGCGATCCCTACCAACGTCAACCCCGCTCACCGCGCAAGAGCCGCCAGTTTGCTGCAGGTAAGGGATAAATCATTCTGCTACAAGCTTGATATTTTTCTTCATTTTTTTTGCCTGTGGCTTTTTATATTGCTTTTGATTATATGCATGATTATTTGCCAGCTGGTGGAGTTTCTAGAATTTGACAAAAGAAATTTGACGTGCTCTAGGTGCGGGTGTTTTCTCGGAAACAAAATGGTTTATGAGGTTTTTTTTTTTCTCTTTTGGGATGGAGGTCAGCAAGTAATTCCCTTAGCTGAGTCTGGAAAAAATCATAATTAACAGAACAATTATGTTTCTCTGGCAGTCACTTGAAGTGTAATTTGTATGCTATTTTCTTTGTGGTTTCAATAAGTTTATTCTAATAAGTAAGACTTGAATTTAAGCTTAGTTGTACCTTCTGCTATTCATTTGACTAGTCAGTTGTGTTTAGAGAAGTGTAACACCTAGGATGTGTTATGTAGATATCACAAACAGCTCAAATTAACCCCTTCTTTAATGAACTAAAGTTCCTGATATAAACATGCAACATCCAGCTGTAGCCCATTTTAAAATCTGATGCTAAGAGGATCACTTTGGTAACTCAGAATTGTTATTATGCATTGTGTATCTGAAATATTTCATATAAAATATAAATATATGGTACTTTGATACAGCTAAATTTTACCATACTTTGTTGGTTAACTAAACATTTACTTGTATGAGAAAAAGTCAGAAGATCATCTGTGTTTCAAGTTTTTTCACTTGACATGTTCCATAGTAGCATGCTAGAGTCAGACACAATTCTGAAATGTGTTTTACATAGCTGTGAAGTTTTAGAATTAAATTTAAAAATACCTTTGAAAATGTGAGTTTTAAATCTAACCCTAAAATTATAAAAGCAACAGATTATGGTGGGTTTATGCCATCAGCATTTTCATCAGCAGTAAATCATGAAATCCTACTTCTCCTTGGAGTTATGGGAATTTTTAAAGTTAATTGGGAATGTGTTTACACTCCAAACAGAAAGTAAAATTTAGACATAATTCTGAGAATAAAATAGAAGTCTTCAGGCCTACTTCTGCTCCTCAAAACCTCATAATCATGGCAAGCTTAGTTCCCATCTGTGCCAAGTGTTAAATATGTAGATTTGGCACATCTGAGGAGAAAAAAGACAACAGCTCCAGGTTCCCTTCAGCTTCTCTGCCTCCCAGTAGCTCCCTAAGAAATGTGAGCAGCTAGCCACAAAAATGCTGCAGAACAATGGGTAAAGGTTGTAGGAAAAGCTGTTCTCAGCCCTGTATCACAGAGGGTTTTTCTCTGGCAGTGACAGTCTGGGCCAATCCTTTAAGGCATCATTCCAGCAGAATGGAGCCCACTGGGGATAAATGACCACCAAGAAGGATTGCACACTTCTAGATTGCACATAGAAACTATGCATCTAAAAAAAGCCTCAGCTGCTTTCTCACCATCCATCCCACACCCTTTCCTTTTTTTGATTCTTTTTTCTTGTTATATCTCCCAATTGGAAGGTAAGCATCTGCTGAAAATTTCTTCACCTTGGCTGTTCTAGATGCTGGTTATGATATCACTTCCTTTCACTTTAGACTGTTTTTTCTCTCTTTCCTCTGCCTGCTGCTGATGCTGGTGTACTGGCATGTTCCAAAGACAACTTTTGCATGCGTGGCCTGTCTAACTTTTATCCAGATTTAACGAAACGGATCCGTACTTCCTATCAGAGTAAGTTCTATAAAGGTTAGGCAAAAAGCTTTATCATGATTGGACTATGCCTGACTTAAACCCATGTGTTTGTGCTTTGTAATGTGTTTTTTTAAACACATTCAGCATGCATGCAAACTTACTACATTTTGTGATGTCAACCATGCTTATTTTGGACAATTACCTTTATTATACAGAAATTCTTTTCTTTCAAAAGAGTCAGAGAAAACCTCAGTGTTATATGGGGCAGACTGGGCCTTAGAAATTATTTTTCAGTGATGTTATGTTCATGGTGGTGGTATCTTGATTTGGTTTTTTAGTTGTTTCCATGTACATTTACTAATATGAAGCATTTCTTGTTTTGCAATGGCACTATCTGTAGTTATCAATTTAATTCTTCCCTTTTTTCAGAAGAACAATGTGTCTTAAAAGAGTACCCATTGGATTGGATGCTGTGAAATTTAAAATTTTAATCTTGGTTTGGTACTTAAATATTTGGCTTTGGGGAACCATCTCGTGCCTCTGATCTTTGATGGGGAATGTAAAGTGGGCATAAAAATACATACATCAAAGAGGGCTATGAAAATTAATGGTTTTAATATCTTTAAATTTTGAGTTATACTGATACAAAATTTAAATATTAGTATTCATCACTGCAGAATGCAGTGAACAAAGTTATAATTAATTTTGTAAAAACGACTGTTCAACAGATGAGCCATACATATCTTAATTAACTGCAATGCTTATTCATAATTAGGTCTCTAGGATGCCTCTTTTTAAAGTACTTTTCACAGAACAACTGGATAGGCAATTTTACATTGAATATTCAGTATAGGCAAGATAGGGGAGTGGCAGTTATTTTATCATCTCTATAAATATGAAGTGATGTAGCTGTTGAAATACATTGGTACTCCTGCACGACACATTCTGTTCCATCCCTCTAGGCTGATTTCTGTGACTTTATTTCATAGTAGTTCATAAAA